GGACTTCAACTCCCAGAATTCCCCACCCAAATTCTGGGAGTTGAAGTCCACCCGTCTTAAAGTTGCCAAGGTTGAGGAACCCTGCTCTACTGTACTTTTTTCTTTCCGCTGGCAACACATAGGACTGTCACCAATGGTGAATGATGCATCTTCATCTTCAAACATCTTCAAAGATACAAACTTCCCATCCCTGCTCAAATTATCCGTCCAACTTAAAGCAGACCCTGTCCAGTATCATATCCCAACATATCTATAAGGATAGAAAATAACTCCCCAGCTCTGCTTTTCCTCATTAGACTTACTGATTTCTACAATCTGTTAGAAATGTTTACAGCACCAAAATCTTTCCTTTAAAAAAAAAAATCCCTGAATAACTTGAATTTTTAAAGTAACACAGTAACATATATTCTTTGAGATTCATCTCTACCTAGCAGCCAGTAACATCTGGCTGCAGCCAGTTACATCTATGACATGCAATATTCTGCAATAATTTCAGATGAAAAAGATTCCATCTTAACAGGGGAGGACAGTAGCAACTTCACACCAATGGAACAGTTTCTTGCTGATTTAAAATGAAGTAACGGCAGGAAAAACCAATATTTCTGAGTAAATTAGTAACATGAAGGTTGTGAAATCTGTTGTTGCATTTCTCCAGATTTGTCTGTGATGTTTCAAACAGCTTCTGGGCCAAGATCAATAAAAACTAAAAATGTCAAGGATCTTTCTTTCCCAGTTATGACCAAGTATGAGTCAAAAGCAATATATTAGATTCCATAAATAATTTACACATTTCTCAAACAAATGTGATGCACTGGCAGATGATTGGTCTGTTAGTAGCATCCAATCAACTCCTTTATTTCAAATGTAAAACACCATCTAACTGAAGACAGTAGGTGTTAATACTTAGTTGCAGGACTAACTTGTGCAAAGGAGGGCTTAAGAGGTTAAGATAACAGCTGATGGCAGTCATGCATATAGAGAGAGAAATTATCACAAAATCACTGAGCTCATGAAAGAAAGATCTACATTGTTCATGCAGTCTCCAAATCAGATTTCTTCCTTTATATCTTACAGTACCTGGAACGCCCACCTTGCAGGGACAAGGCACAGGGCCAGTCCTAGCATTAAATAAGTGAGGCAGAAATCTCAGGCACTATATTTTGGTGTCGTGGAATTTAGCAAATTCTTAGTTATTTAATCTGTAATTGCTATTTTTTTCACAGCCAAAGATGAGTGAAGTGCTTCTTACCTACTATTAACCATATTCCCCCTCATCTCTCTGTAAGTTATATTTTCCTTGTTCTCATACCTATGTTTTTCCCCTATCCTCTTTCCTGGCTGCATTTGGAGAGGAAAATGCATCAATGTTTAAAACAGAGATATTTAACAGATTATGCTTGCTGTACACAATTTTATTCAGAAAGTGAGTTAATTACAGAATTCAGGAAAGGATCTAGAATGTAATCTTTATCAGGACAAAGCATGTCTAGATTCTGATGCAGGAACTGAAATCTGTGTGTAAGGACCAAAGTGGGAACTTTTGAAAAGAAGGGGAAAATGATCCAGATACCCTAAATATTTATTCTACCTCAAACAGCTTGTTCTGCATCTCCTCCTACTGAGAAAGCCTTTGCCCAGATTTCATCTCCAAGAATAATCTGTTGTGGCATGAGACTCCAAACTAAATGGATGTTGTAGCCATTCCCAGATATATTACATTTTGTTGAGAGCATGTTAACAGTAGTTAGAAGTAGCAACAACACTTTTCCTTGCTCTTCCCATCCCTAGTAAGAAAATGGGTAGAATGGCACAGCAATCCTCCACTGATGGGCTGCCCATAGCATAGAACCAAATTGCTCTTGGGGTTCAGCATGTCTGAAGATTAAGGTTCCATACAGAACAACTTCCTCGTGCCTACAAAGAAAAAGAAAAGTAACTGAATCCACAAGAAGACTGCTTTTAGCCTCACTGTCCATATCTATTTATCTCCTCCTCCTAGCACACTGTCAAGCTGCCATGTCCTACTATAAATCTTGACTAAATTATCTTGGCATGGGCATGTTGCTTCTCCCCAGTAGCTAATGGATTTTAGCTTGCATGAAGGCAGGTAATGTCCCATTCTCCCTTTCTTCCTCCTCCACTGCTGCCTAATAATAAAACTATTATATGCAACTAGTAGCCTGTCCAAGGCCAAGGATATACCTGGACAGCTGGCTTTAGGCAAAATTTTTCTTTCACAATACACCAATATAGGTTAATAGTTAAAGTATTGAACTTAGATTGAGGAGATCCAGGTTCAAGTAGACACTCAACCATGTTAACTCATTGGATTACTAGCCAGTCAGCCCAATCTACCTCATAGGGTTGTTGCTGTGTGCATAAAATGAAGTCACCTTGAGCTCTTGAAAGAAAAGTGGGATACAAATCTAACAAATAAAATCATGTTTTATCCACCTGGAACTGGAACAGGGCTATTTACTTTTTTAACTGCCAATGACAGGTATCCTTCCCCATTCTTTCTGCCTCTTAAGAATTGGATCTCTCTTCTATTTGCCTCCTAAAGTTCTGTTGGAAAAATACTTGTCTCCTTAAATCCAAGGGTTCTTACCTCAGGATTGAAGATGACATTGCACCATAAAATCTCCTGGGCTCAGTCTTTACAGCATCCTGGCCAAAGAATCTACAGCTGATCTAGGAAGAAGGGTGCCTTCTGTGAAAAGTAATTGTCATAGAGCCATTCCTTCATGTTCCAAGGTGAGTGCACTCAGGTATGTTTTACTGAGCATAGTAACAGAGATGAAAATGGCTGGAATCAAGCTTTTCAGTAAGTAGATGAGGAGGAAATTCAGGAATGTGTCTGAGGTTCAAACAGATCAGTCATTTTGAAACTCCTGTAGCCAGTCCTAAGACATCATTGAATAAATGGTTGTGAAGTTGGCTTCTCATTTGCTATTGCTGGAACAAAGTTCCTTTCTAATAAGATTTTGTCAAGGGAATGCCAACTCTACCATTTATACTACTGGTATAAAAGCACATTAATGTAGAGATTTGCCAGAGGCAGTCTTGGTAGCTGCTCAGGAAGCTTGACAAAAAAGCATAATATTCTGTGCCCAAGAACCATCTGTATTTCAGAGGTACTTTTCCTGTCCTAAGGCAGGCAGTGACATCCATGAGCATACTGAAACATTCTGTTTATGTGATGCAAATTCTTGTTGGACCTGGTTCCGATATTTGAAAGATAACAGGTACCACTTGATACGATGTTATAGTGCCAGGCAGCACCATTCCTCCATGAAATTCTTAATTCATCCACGTTGGACTCCAACAGGAACAGGAGTTTTCTGAATTCCATTTCTGGGTGAGGCCTCTGCTCACTATCCTTTGTCCCATCACTATGAACATTCCATCCTATCTGTAATGATTGGTTTGCTTTAAAAGGGCTTTTCCAAATCTGGTACTCTCAAGAAAATTGGACAAAAATATTCCTATAATTCTCTTCAGATGGAAACTAGAGTCCCACACTTATGAAGGGAATAATTTTGGAGAAGACTGCTTTAATGCAGGACACTGACTAAGTGAGATTTCATCAAAGTGAAGTAATAATACACAGAGCAACATTTATGGGACAAGATCACAGAAGGCTTAATTTGAGCAAATTCTTCTGTTAATTGAAACCCATAAGCTTGGAATCCATTCATGGGGGCAATGTTTAGTTCTGGGACATATTAAACAATATCCACAAAGAAAGGTAATTTCTGAGCATATTCAACAGGCAATATTTTCTTATTTTAACTAGCGTACATCTGGAATTTAAAATAAGCTCTTTCAATTAGAGGATGCATATTTTCAGTTGGCAGGAGCCTTCATTCCTCTGTTTCTGAAAAATAAGTTACCATAATAATGCTACAAATGCTGTCTGGGGTGTATTCAAAATTTTAGAAGTTTACAGTAAGTAATTATTTATAAATATCTGATTAAAACAAAATATCCCTGGGAAAAACAAAGTGAAACTCATGAAGGCCTTAGGGTATAAAATCTGAGCGTTCATTTCTAAGACCCAAAACAGGATAGTATGAATAATAAAACCAATAGAGCATCCCAGAAGGTGATAATACTGAATTTCCAGGGACTTCCTACAGCAATCAGATACGTTGGAAGGACAAATCAGGTCAAAACTTCCCAGACCCATAGAAACCCTCCTGCCAAAGTGAAAGAAGACAAGGAAGAGAGAGAAAACCTACAATCCGCTTCCCAGGTTTTCCTCCTAAGGTACATCATTTTTAGCTTCTGGATCATGACAGTATGTGTCCATCTGTGGATGAAAAGATCAGCCATCTGGAGGCAAGAGCATTCATCTCTGTTAAAAAAATAGGGGATGTATCATCGTTTCCTCAGGAAGGTGATGAGGAGTCTGGAGCAAGATATCTATAGGACTAATTACATGCTAGGCTCGTCCATCTATTTGAATAAGGTCTGTTTGTAGTTCTTCAACTTCTTGCATCTCTCAGATGATATCATGGTGCCCCTGGAAACGCCGTACCAAACAGTAGAGTCCCGAAAGCAAGTACAAGAAGGCAGTAATACCAGCAAAGACAGCAGCGGTTAAGTAGGCAGTGTAACTGCAGGGCTGGCTGTAACCGCGCAGGGTACAATAGCTGATACTCCGTGCCTTGTAGCCTATGATGCCTGCAGCAGCCGTGAAGAAAATAACTCCAAGCAACAGGTCATGAAGTATGTTTGTTAGAAGCCAGCGGGTCCCCACCACAGGTATCAGAGTCCAGCGGCCCAATAAACTGAGCCCAAAGACAGCCAAGGTAAGAAGCCATACCAGGACTGCTGCAAAGACTGCGAAGTAGGTCGCTCCTTCATACTTGTGTGCCGCTAAAGTTACCCAGCAGACAGCACCCAACAGCAGTTGTGCTAGACGCAGCCCTCCTAACAGGCTTCGTAGGAAGGGCCTATTCAGGCTCAGAGATTCTCTAGATGCTGGACACGGGGGTGGAGGTGAGGAAGGGGGTGGTGGAAGAGGCATATTATACCACTAGGTCCTTCGCAGATCTTGTCCTGTGCCTTCTTTGCCGAGCAAACCTCACTCCCTCTAAGGCAGTTCCTCTGTCTGCAGCTGCCAAACATCTGCAGCTTAGCAGTTGTTCCTGCACTAGGGCCTCTCAATTTCCTGTTCCAGCCCGCCCTTCTCCCCCCTTGCCCCTCCTTTTTTTGGAGCTCACTTTATTTCTTCTTCCTTTTACTAACAACTCCCTCCCTCTCTCCATTGCCACTGTAGCTCTAGCCAAGAAGTCTTAAAATAATTTCTGAAAACTGCCTTCTTTAGCATCATAATTTCCTCAGCTCTAGTACTACTTAGGCCAACAAGACTCTGCCAAACCAAAAAGATTGGCTAAAGAAAATGTGGACTCTGCAGACATCAAGTTCAGTTCCTCCCTTCTCCATGGAGAGAGGCCAGGTGATAGTCACTCATAGAACTCCCTGGAAGGAAGAACTTGAAGATATAGAGCTAAATGTTCAAACAGTTTTTTCATCTGTTGCACTGACATTTAAATTCTGTTGCATTCTTCTTTAGATTGTCCAGAGGCCCCCCTGACTTTGAACAAGCGTAATCCCTAAAGGCTGTTTTCAGCCTTCCTTTCTCTTCTCTGCAAGCAAGAAGTGCCTGACCTAAAACTAAAGCTGATCTAATCGCATCAGTAAATAATGTGAAAACCACACCCTTTGTGTAGAATTAAGAAGCTGGAACATGAGGGACCTGGAGCTGTCCGCCAAGGCATGTTGTAACTGCAATGACTAGAGTACACTTGGATTTATAGTCCAATGCAAGTTACCTTTGAGCCAGGAAAAGAAATGCTCACTATAGCAACTGAATCCCAGATGAATTCCCATACATATAGAACTCCTTTTTTCTGTAAATTTAATAATCTGTCTACTATGATGTATTTTAAGTTCTGTTTCAAAGTAGTTCAATTTTAGTTCAGCTCCACAGCTGAATCTTTCAGAACTGTTGTTCACTGACATAAAAGAGCCCATTGTTTGTATGATTGTAACTTAATTTTGACTTTTATAAGTTCTGGCAAACAAAAAATTCTATGTGCTCCATGTGGTTAAATATCATAGGTCACTTGACTGAATATGAGCCATCAAGTCCATGTTGACTCTTAGTGACCACATAGACAGACTTTCTCCATGACTATCTGTCCCTAACCTGATCTTTCAGATCTTCCAACAGTGCACCCATCCCCACTGTAAGTAAGTCCACCCACCTTGTTGCTGGTCATCCTCTTCTTCTCTTTCCTTCCATCTTTCCCAGCATTAGAGCCTTCTCTGGAAAGCTGGGTCTTCACGCAATGTGTCCAAAGTAGATTAATTTGGGCCTGGACATTTGTGCCTCAAGTAAGAACATCAAACATTTGTTTGATGATCCATTTGTTTGTTTTCTTGGCTGTTCATGGTATTCTCAGGAGTCTTCTCTAACACCAAAATTCAAAAGCATCGATACTCTTCCTACCCCGCTTCTTCAAAGTCCAATTTTCACTTCCATAGAGCATCACAGGGAATACTGTTGCTTGCATGATTCTGATCTTTGTAGGTATAGATATATCATGGCATCTGAATATCATTTCCAAGGATTTCATGGCTGCTCTACCATGCTAGTTTGTGATGTATTCCTTGACTGCGTGTTCCTTCACTTTTGAGACAGGTCACTTATTCTTGGTATTTTCCATATATGGGTACTAAAACAGCATGTATAAAACATGTATATATTTCTTTGTGACTAATAAGAATATATAATAATGATGGTGGGTTTTTTTTTAATGTAATTACACATTCAGGTTTCAGGAAGCTAAAACAGCTGCAGCAAATAACCCTAGATATAATTTTCCTACAGACCCACTTCCTCAACATCATAGGGGTCTGCAGGTATGGAACATCTGTATCCAGGATAACTAAAGGATGCTCTTGAAGTGTATGTGCCACTTGTTATCTTTAGATAGATAGATAGATAGATAGATAGATAGATAGATAGATAGATAGATAGATAGATAACAAGTGGCACATACATTTCAAGAGCAAATTATTTATATATATAAATAATTTTAAACACAAGAATAAGACTAATGCAAACTAAAATAGAGCAGAGAAGAAAAAGGAAAAAACTAAAGAAAAAACTAAAAGTGCAAAAAGGAAAAGAGCAGCAGAAAAATAGAAAACAAAGAAAAAGACATAAAGATATCTAAGTTTGTATGGCAAGGGGGAAAGCCACAAGTTAAATATAAGGTGTTACAAGATGCAAAGGAAAGAGGAGGATTGGGTTTACCTGATTTGAAGGTGTTACAAGATGCAAAGGAAAGAGGAGGATTGGGTTTACCTGATTTGAAGGTGTTACAAGATGCAAAGGAAAGAGGAGGATTGGGTTTACCTGATTTGAAATTGTATTTAGCAGCTTTTTGTTTGGTTTGCATGAAAGAGTGGGTGTCGCTGAGAAATAGAAGACTTTTAGAGTTAGAAGGACATGACCTGAAATGGCATGGATATTTGTGGTACGATAAAGTCAAGGTTAAGGTAGATTTCAAAGATCATAATGTTAGACGTGCCATACTGAGAATATGGAATAGATACAAATTCAGGCTATGCCTGAAAACACCTTTGTGGCTCTCAGCACAAGAAGCATTCTATAGATGAGAAATAATAGACAAACACAAATGGTTCACATATTGTGAAATACTAGAATTTTGTTAAGGGGAATATAAAATAAAATCAAGAGAACAACTGATGGCAGAAGGACACAGTTGTCAATGTTTTTCTTATTTAGAGTTATCAGAAAGATTTAAAGTAGATAAAAGAATTTATGGTATTGAACATTATAAGACTGATTTTGAAACAGAGTTGTGTACAAATTATGAACATGTGATTTCTAAAATGTATAAACTTTTACTGAAATTTGAAACAGAAGTCCAAGTCAAGGAATGTATGATAAAGTGGGCTAAAAATGTTGGTTATAAAGGTAGTCCTTGACTTAAAATGGCAATTGGGACCAGAATTTCCATTGCTAAGCGATGACAATCCCTGCAGTCCCAGTTGCTGTCATTAACTGAATCCCATGGTCATTGCTGCTGGCTTCCCACAACCAAAGTCAATGAGAAACTGGCAGGAAGTTGCAAGTTCCAGGCCTGCAGGCAGGTAAGTGGCTACTGCTGGGTGGGGGAGGAAACAAATGGTGTGCAGAGGTGCAGGGGAGAGTCAGGGAGGGTGCACAAGGGTGCAGCATGGGTGAAGGAGGGGGTGCAAGGGGGCGCAAGAAGCACTGCACAGGTTGGGGAAGGTGCGCAGTGGTGCATAAGTGGTTGGCGCAGCGTGAGTGTAGAAGGGCTGGCAAAGGGTGCACAGGTGGAGGAGACTTAAGAGTTACCCCAACAACTTGCAAACTTCCCTGCCAGCTTCCCCATTGACTTTCTGGGGAAGCTGGCAGGGAAGGTTGCAAATGGCCATTACGTGGTTGTGGGATGCTTGGCAACTGGTTGTAAGTGCAAATGGGTTGCCAAGCACCCAGATCATGATCATGTGACCATGGGGGTGCTGCAATGGCTGGAACTCCAAGGACTGGTCATAACTACCATTCATTCAGCGCCGTCATAACTTGGAACAGTTGCTGACCAAATGATTGTAGGTCAAGGACTACTTGTAATACACAGATGGAACAATGGGAAAATCTGTGGTTGAAAGGACTGAAATTTACATTATGTTATAATCTTAAAGAGAATCTTTATAAAATGATGTACCGTTGGTTTGACACCAGAAAAATTATCTGGAGTGTGTAAAGGTACTTCAAATTCATATTGGAAATGTGAACAAGAAGGGACATTTTACCATGCTTGGTGGATGCGCAAAAAAGCTAGAAAATTTTGGGTTCAAATACATACAGTGATTCAGAGGATTTTAGATTAATATTCAATTGAAACCAGAACTTTTTTTCTTGGGACTGATGGATAAACAGTTGGAAAAAAGTCATGGAACGTTGTTTTTATATATGATAACTGCAGCGACATTATTGTATGAACGAAGATAGAAAGATTTGACAATACCTACAACAGAGGAATGGTCAGTGAAGACGACAGAACTTGTGAGATGGCCAAATTGACCTGTTTGATTAGAGAAAACACCATAGCTACATTTATTGGTGTCTGGAAATCCCTTATGGACTTTTTGCATAAAAAAGAAAAAAAATGAACTTATCATTTATGGTTTTGATGATTAGATAGGATAGATTATAGAAAGAAGAGATTCACAATTTAACTTAGAGAGGTCACTTTATAATTGTACTTATAACTGCTGGAAAAAAGATTGAGAGCCACTTATTTTTTGTTATGCTGCCGAATTGTGCCTTTTCCCATTGCCCAGTCTGAAGAGATGGTTGCAATAGCAATAAATGCTTGAAGGTTCTGCTTAAATTCTGCTTCCTAACCTGCAAGACCAGGCAAGAGAATCACCCGGCATTTGAAGCAGGCTGACTCAGCCCTTGCGCAGGACTTAGGGCATTCTTCAAAGCCAATCTCTCCTGTCCCATATTGTAGGCAGGTAAGAAAAGACCATTCACCACGCTGCGAAACATCGGAAAAAATCAGCTATCGTGATGCCAGATTAGCGAGCCTTTTCAGCAAATGGTTATTGTTTTTTCAGATTACATACTGCCAGAGAAGCTGGGGGTGTTCTGCAGGGCTACTCTTTAGTGAAATAGCAGAGCGGCTTTGACACAACCAATGCACAGAAACCTCACGGAAGCGGAGAAGCGGTGGGGAAGGAGAGAAGAAAAAGAAATCGCCCATGCCTGCGACGCTGTACAGTTACAGGCCATCTGCTTATATGGAATGGCGGCCCGCGCTTGAACCGAGGAAAGAGCCTCTGCGCGGGAGCTGCACGCAAAAACACGCTCCCACCGGAGGCGAACTTCTCAGCACCGCGGTCTTCTCACCTTGCAGGTTAACGCCCTGCTTGCTGACGTCAAGCATCCTGCCTGCCACGTGTTCCTAAAACGGGCCTCACGGTCCCTCCCTCGTCCTCAATTGATTGGTTAGATTACTCCCTTCGTCGTTTGGAGAAGAGGCAGCGGAACCGATTGGCTGAGTTGCTTATTGTCAATTCTCTGCAGTGGCCAAAGGTATCTCCTCGGGATCCGAGTATGAATGACCGGAATTGGCGTGGGAAGGGAGAGTAGAGCCTCCCCGAGCGCGCGCTGTGGCGGGTCTCCGAGAGCCTTTGCGGGGCCAGCGACCCCCAGGAGGACGGCAGACGCCAGGTCCGTGAGTGCCTGCAGACCCTCAAGGTCTCAGCTTCAGCCTCAATCGCCGTTCTAAAATTCCGGGTGGGGAGGGGAAGGGAAGGGAAGGGAAGGGAGGGGAGGGGGGTGCCCTGAGAAAGAGACGTGATTCCTTATGCTGTTCGAAAGACGTGCGAAGATTTGCTGGCAAACGTTGAGAGAA